GATAGATAGATAGATAGATAGATAGATAGATAGATAGATAGATAGATAGATAGATAGATAGATAGATAGGCAGGCATGCAGACAGACAGACAGACATTTGCATTATAAACATAATCTTGACATGTGTGTAAATGTTTAGACGCGAGAGTTAGATGGGGACATCGTTCCGGTTTGTGTGTTTGTGAACTTCAAAGCTTGTCTCCTGGCTCTTTGAGTTGTTCAAATATTTAGGTTCTGTGTCCAGTACATGGACTCTTGACAGAGGACTGTCACTTGAGTTTTCATGCCATCAGGTTTCTTCCAAATCCTGCCTGCATAAACAAGGATTGTGGGATGACATGTTGTGTTTGTTTGTTGGGAGTGGCCTGGTTTATTTCATTGGTAGAACTAGTAAATAATCAACTGAGGTAAGGAGAAGATCTGTTGTTATTTTTAGAATCACAGATTGGGCTGGAGGCAAACAGTATATATAAAAAAATGTAATATATACATATACTGTATGTTTGACTGAGGATATTAAATGAATTTGAGACTAACAATTGGATTGGCTAATCACACACATCGCAATCCGACTGTTAATAATAATGGTCCTTAAGGGCACAGAGTGATTTAAATGTTTTAATTTGAATATAATCTATCTGAAGGAACTATGCCCAGAGGCTACATGAGGAGGGGGCTCAATGAAGCTGCACTCCTGAATAGGAGGAGAGCAATGGCAGTTTGAAGTCAATTCAAAACAAATTAAGTTTGTAAAGGCGGCCCAGCCGGTGCCCTTGTTAAATTTGCATGTCAACACAAACGGCCACCCTGACTGCTGCCAGCACATCAATGAGTGATGCAAACAAATCTCATCCTGCTTTTACACAGACCAGTGTTTTTCATTTTATTTGACAAAACTCATTGCAGCATCTCATTCAAAACTCTCTCTATTCATTGATTGTTCATTTCCTAAAATGTAAACAATTTTTTTTTATACCAGAGTGGCCAGTTGGCTGCAAGATGGGCACGAAAAGTGAATAAAACTTATTTGGAGACACATTTGAGTAAAACACATTGAGCCTCAGAAGCAGGTGATTGGCCATAGTTAAGCTGAGAACCCAATGAGATCATTAGCTCGTCCAAACTATCAGGCTTTTGTTATCATTAACCAAGCACTAATAGTCCAGGGGGAGGCTAAACTCACTAATGCTAGCGCCTGTTAAGTGGACCGCCAGCTAATGGCGTCTTCCTGGGGTCTTGACACACGGCAAGGTCAGCTGAGACACATGAAAGAGAGAGAGAGAGCAACCGTGAGAAGAAGCTGCAGACAGGACAGTTAGTCTTTAGCCCGAGACAGAGTAATACTGGAAATATTTCAAGTTCAAGGTATTATATAAGCATGTCTTTAAAACTTTGTTTTAGAGCTTTTAGGAGGAATTTGAAATAATACTACACTAAAGCGTGCTATAACAATATAACTTACTGTAAAGCTGATTTGAAACTTGCTTGTGAAAAATACTATGTAAAACATCACTATATTTTAAATCGAAATCTTCAAAATCGATCACACAAATTTGGACCTATTCACATACAGTGGCCTAAAAAAGTATTTAAATGTGCTTTAGGAAAGTGTAAATGTATGAAACTCATTGCATGAAATAAAATATCTACAAACAAATGATGCTAAAGCTTTTCTCAGGACTATTTGCATGTGTGTTAATTCATGTTTATTGATGTATTTGCCAGGCTAACAGGGAATGTTCTCTGTTTAAAGTTATCTGGTCTTTAATTAGGCTCAAAACATTAGCACAAAAACATGATATATGCATTATTCATGGAAACTGAAACAAGTTCATTTAAGTTTTCGATACATCTAAATATGTCTAAACATATTTAGATATATATCGAAATCGTCTTCCATTGCGATTTCCCGTATATCTAAATATGTTTAGTGAAAGGTAAAACTTCCGAAATCTCCGTGTAAACAATGCGTGACGTAGACGCGTGAGAGATCACTTACGTCGTAACGTCTGGAGACGGTTCAGTTCGGTTCATTTGGAAATCTGATTCAGATCAGTTCGACGGCTGTTAACAAGAGGTATTAACAATATAAAGACTGTTCGTTTTCTCACACAAACCGCTCGTTTCGTGTCTTAGGCCATCAGTGTGTACATACATTTACGAGTCATTAAATCATGTTTAATTTTGACTTCTCTGTGCATGTTCTTTGAGGTGAACCCCCTAAAACTGCATTATATGACTGACAGACAACAACGGTTTGACCAAAAAAATGTCAAAATTTAAAATACTGTGGAAACAAAGACACCTACATCTTGGATGCTCTTGAGGTAAGCTAAAACATATCAAAAATTAATTTCAAAGTGAACTATCCCTTTAACTATGTACAGCAACTATAACTACGTTACAACCAGAAAGTGTCACGTACATTTCGTCTTAGTTTTAACCGCTATGTCTATTGTTTTATTATTATTTCTTAATTTGCTTAAAGTGTGATTGTAAAAAACGGTTTAATATTTTCTAATCTAGCACAGTCATTTTTAAGTATGCTTTATTCATTTTCTAAATTTAACATCCTTTTTTTGTGACCACTATACAAACCTATAATTTTTGCCCTTCTCAAAAGTATCTTATTATGAAGCACTATAATATTTTCAGTATGTTGCATGCTCATTTTCCATCTCAAGGAGTCTGGAGTCCATGCCTCCACAGCAATGAACTATATCACAGAGGAATGTTAGCACTTGCTGCGGTTCTTAAGGACATTTAGTGTGTGAAACTGCAAGCATATAATTTCAAAGTAGTTTAAAAAAAAAGTTGCACAGTTCTCAAATATGTCCGTGATTTGTGGATTATAAAGTCAAGCCAGAGTGCATACAAGGGAATTACTGTGTTCAGCGAGTGCAGGCGAAGGACTCTGAACTCACAGCTTACCGACATTCCCTCACTTACTAAATAAATACTCGCTCTACCTCCAGTATTAATCCCAAGAGAGCAGCCCGAGAGATGTAATGTGTCCCTTTTGGAGGGGTTTCAGAGATGACGCAGTCAGATGAAGGGCACTACTTTAGAACAAGGCCTCTGTGTCAGTTTCCCTGCTACTGACTGAGCTTCATCCCTCAAACACACACACACAAGCTAAAAAAACACAACTACACAAATCTGTTTGATGAATGAAATCATAAGCAGAGGCTCGTGATTTGTTACAGTCAAGATTGGATCCTTTATTCATACAATTTGACTACAACAAACCTTATCTGTACCCTGGTGTCAGTGTAAAATTCTTCAACAAAAACAAAACAAAAAACGTTCCAACCATCCGATAGTCATCTTGTCCGTTTTATACAAATGTGCAAAATAAGACCGTCTTTACGAATCCTTCAGTCTTCAGTGTCATTTCCAGGATCCACAGGACACGGCTTCTTGGGTAAAGGGCGGGGCTTGCAGTCCTTAGCCCCGCCCCTTTTCATATTAACCACGACCCCACAGTGACCGGCCATTCTAATTCAAGTAAAGTGCTCTTTTGAGAAAACACAAACATTTGCGTCCTTGAAATTTCTTCACTCTCTATGGAGACAATAAAATAACGCACCAAGCGGGACGATAATAAAATTACGACAGCAAACTACAGTTAGTTACCCTTTTGTGCCCGAACAAAGAATTTCCGAGTAGTCATACGAATTCCAGCTTTCCGTGCCCCGAGTACATGCCCCAGTGCACCAGAGATAGTAGGCGTTCGCCTCCGCTTCCTCCTCCCGCGCACAACTCCGTCTGCCGCAGTTTATCGCAGCCCAGACAACAGTTCTCATGTCCCGTTACCGGCACCATGCACTCCAAGTCCAACTTGGCCACGTGGCCTTTCTTGGCATGGTGGTGTCCATGAAAACTGTAATGCAGGCGAGACAGCATCTGTTGGCGCTGGGCCTGTAAACGCTTGTTTTCGCTCCGGAGCATTCGCAACGCCAGCATAATCAGCAGGACCAGGATAAGGCCACCTGCGATGGGAACCGCTATCACCGCCGCCCGGAACCACACCTCTTTAGCCGACGTCAATTCATGTACTCTCGTGATCAGGTTCTGATTGGAGCTGTGGTATCGGTCTAAACAGAGACAAAGCAAAGTGAGATTTGGATTGTGGAAAAAAATAAAAAAACAGCATGAGATTTAACACTAATGTGTTACGTTTATACTTGTTCCACTCTCTTTAATATCCAGCGCACCTTTTTCATTAAACAGGATTATATTTATGTGATTCGAGCCGTCTGTCAAGGACGCTGTGAGAAGCACATTCCAGCACAGTGGGAATGTTTCATGATCCATGTGAAATAAAAAGTATGTGAACTGAATCCAAGTGCTAAAAGGTAAACTGCCAGCCTACCCGCAAACTCACCCTGCACTGGAAACCATTAAATATCAGCCTGCAGTTTGGAGCCGTGAGAACCGTAAAAGTCAATGTGTGCGCACATTTTTGTCTGATACTAAAATATCTGTCACAAGGGTCCATGTTTGCACAGGATTTACGTCAAACCTCAGTAAAGATAATAGCTTACTTCGATTAGATAAAAAACACAGTAAGTGAATCACTGTGTCTTATTGGCCTATTCAATGCCATACATTCTGTACCAAGGCAGGAAAACTTGGTTACAGAACAATTCACCCAGAAATTAAAATCCTGTCATTAACTCACTCTCATGTTGTTCCAAACCTGTATGGCTTGTTTTCAAGTGCTGTGGAAAATGTCTTTTTGTCCATTCAATGAAATATTTTGTTCCACAGAAGAAAAGAAAGGCATTCAGGTTTGCAACCTTGACATGAGGATGAGCAAAAGGATGGTCCTTTAAAACGTTTTTGTCACATTTGTGTATCTCACCTGTTGAGTCACCTCGAGGGTGTGTGAGGTCATGCAGACCCCTGTAGTTACACATATCATCATGGCAACACTCTACGGGAGAAGAGCTTCCGCCGGAAACATCCACGTTTTTGCTGGAGCACACATCTGCAGAGTTTAAAAGCGAATCTACACAGCCGTGCGTTAGAGGTGAGTTCGTGTTAAGTGGGTCCAGGACCTTAGTGAAGCACGCGTTGAGCTCAGATTTACACATGTATCCAGTGGCAACGCAGTGCGGTGCGTCACAGTAGCACCTGATCTCTCCTGCAAAACAGAGAAGTCGTGTTAGTTAAAAATTTGAAAAGGAAACTGATAATCATGTGTGGTAGCTGACATTAATGCACCATCTTGGAACACATATATGTACATATTAAAGTACAAAACTGTCCAGATGTTTTTACAGTAAACTAAACTTTCCAAAGAATCTTGACTAATTGTGAAAATGCAAGTGCAATTTTTCCCGATAGAGCGTGGGAATTCTGAAATTCCCATCACATCTATTTCAACCGAAATTGAGCATTTTACTAGGAAATTAAACAGTGCCGTTTTTCTTACATTACTAAGATGCTGAAACAGGTTAACTTTATTACCAGGAAGGCATTCTTCATTTGGCCAAGGATGTGAGGAAAAATAAGCAACTAAAGCTAAACTACTCAGATCTTATGCCAGAAAAGAGACAGGGTAAACACAGTGACTAAGTGTTTTTGTCAGAACACACTAATATATGGCAATTCCGTTCAACACTGTAACTATGTCATGGCTTTTCATGCAAGGGATCCTTTTAGTCTGTCTTATAAAACAGGAACCGTGTAGCTTATAATTAGTGGTTTGTTTGCCAAAGTCAATTTCTTTCAACCCAAATGGAAACTCGTAAAGGGGGGTGAGAGCAGGACTCCTTTTGCAGTTAGCACGCAAACTCACTTGTGGTCAAACCTGGCATAAAGTCGTAGGGTAACTTTTAAAGGGACAGATCCCAGAAAAAATATATTTCTCTATTTTTTTCACACTCGAGTTGCTTCATACCTGTATTACTTTGTTTGTTTGTTTTTTATGCAGAACACAAACGGAGATGTTAAGAACTGACATCCACAGTCACCACTCACTTTTGTTGCATCTTTTTTCCAATAGGCCTTCAATGAAAGTGAATGGGGACTGAGACTGTCATTCTGCTTAACATCTTTTTTAACTTGATTTAGAGCGACATGTGGAGGAATTAATTGTTCCTTTAAGGTTTCCTTAAATAACGCGGTCAGTTATAGGACGTCGGATGGTTTATAGTTAAAATATTCGCTGTTTCAGTAAGCGGTCGGTCAGCGTCTAATTTTTACCTACCGCCTAACTAGCACTGCGCGTGGACTTGAAACAAAACACTAAACACACACCACGACACGAACACAAATAAACACGGCCTTTGTGTTGTTGTAAGCTGCTTGTATACACTGTCCAAGGCTGGAGTTACATGTCATCTCATTAGTGTGAGAAATCACTTCAGTTCTTCTTATCAGATATGCTAAATTGGTTTACTATTTATTTTGTGACTGGTTGTGGTGCTTATCCAATGTAGGCTACATATAAAACCGAAGCATACTGTTCTTGTTAACTATTGCAAAACGAAATATTTAGCAAAGGCTCAGAAAATGACATAGGAGCATAATAGCTGGTTTCAAGCCTTATTATAGCCTACCTAACACTTTAGACCTGCAACAAAATAGCTCAAGACGTGTTTTTGTGTGCGTGTGTCTTTTTGGAACATGTAGCTGGTCAACCTTTAGCAGCTAGAAATATTTTATTTAGGCAGAAAGTATTATCCAGCATGCTTTAGAGACCAAATTCTTGGTTCTCCCCCCGATAACAGGCTACAATAAATCGACAAGCCTAATCGATAATATACGACCAAATCAAAATCCAAGTTGTAAATGTAAAGGCACAGTTGTAAAAGTGTCATTTAAGATGTATAATGAGTTGTTAACATATACGTTTATCTAATAATATCAGGGTTGAGACGTCAGTTTTGTCTTCGGCAAACAAGGCCGTTAGCCGAAACACAAGTGTTGAGAAATGTAGGCTATTTATTTTGAGGGACTGTTTGTGTTTGAGCGGTGCAGTTTTACATGCTCTTAAAGTTTTAAAGTAGTGTCGTGCACTTTTAGAAACAACTATGATCTCAATGTTACCTTTCGTGAGAAGAACAGCCATCGCACAAAGTTCCAGCTGAAACCAAAGAGAAACAAGGCTGGAATGACGATCCATTTACAACTGCTTTTCCTTGTATTGATAGCTTGTGGCAAGACCCTCCGAATGGTTTGAGGACTTGTTACATATGTCCTACATTGATTACTGCATTCCAAGGGATCTGTGAATTACGCTGTATCCAAAAACAAACGGGCACAGAAAGCCTGTGTCTTGTTCCATCAGAGACCAATGCTGAACTACCGCAAGTGCAGAAACATTCCTTGTGCGTAACCGAACCAATCCGTCATGCGTAAGAAACCCCAATACGCAAAGAAAAAAACTGATTCGTTAAATAATAAAAAGAAGGAGCCAAAGGAAATAAGATACGGACAACTGTCCTCGATCACGGAGCAGCGGATCACACTCACTGGTCGGTCGGACAATTTCACTGGATAAGTTTTTGGGGCTCCGTGTAGCCACGCCCACTGGTACGTTCATTGGTCTGATATGCTGACTCATTTGCATACTGCCTCCTATTGGCATTGGTATTGGTTCACACAGCGGTCATACAATTTGTCTTTCCGCCTACAGATGCTGAGACAGAATCGCATGATGAGGCAGGTAGCAAGGAGGAAAAAAGAAATAATAGCATAATGGTTATTAAAATGAAAGCTGACGTGGCAGTTTAGCCTACGAAATAGAAACCTAACATATTGTGTCATCAAGATTTAAAGAAGATTTAATGGGAGAATTAATATGTATTTTTTTTTTTTAGAAACGCATTAAAGTAGTATGTTTCAGTGCTTTGTCAGCCATACGAGTCGACACAGTGTTTCCCAGGCTGCTGGAGGTGGAAACTGCAGGTCTGCACTAGAGAGTGGATGTAGGCGGGTCGGTTAGAGAAATTAGCAATCCAAAGAGGCACATGGCGCCAGCGAGACGACACAGACAGACAGTGACACTCAATTACCCCCCAGACAATCCCATGCAAAACACACAGAGCACAACGATCGATATCTCAACTGCCCTACCCGCCCTAATGTGTTGAGCACTTTGGTCAGAGCATGTGCTTCCCAATTGAAGGCATTTTGGGCCACCTTGAACCATAAATAAACGAATAAATGAAACCCAAGTGCTGCAGTAGGTTATTTATGAAAATATTAAGACCTACTCATTAAACATAGGCTACCCTGCGATGTTTTAAAAAAAAAAAAAATCATAATTATACAAATTAAAATAGCCTATGTTTTGATTAAAAGAGGGTTCTGTAATTTCATATGTCGTTGGTTTGAAAAATCTGCCTGAGGTTGTTTATTTAGCCTACCTCACATTTGTGCATTTAGCCTAACTGTTTTGTTGCTATGTATACACTAAAAATGCTGGGTTGTTTCAACCCATGTTTGGGTTAAATATGTAGGCCTATGTGTATTTATTTATTTATTTATTTATTTATCATAGCGTACAGTGGGGCGATATAAAAATAGAACATTTTCAAAATAAAAATAGAAAATATAAATGACATTAAATGATTTGTGAATCTTGTATAACTTATACAGAACTTGAAAAAAAAACCTTACGAGTTAAAGGAATATAAAACATGTTGTCATAACTTAGCCTATTCATCATACAGCAATTCTCGCAATTGTTACTTTAGCTATGAGATTTAAGCACAAAACTATGTCTGCATTCATGTAGGCTATTTAATATAGGCCTATTCAATGAAGTCAACTTATATTTTAATATAAACAGAATTTATCTGAATAAAAATGTAGGCTACTGACTAAATAAAAACAGTTAGTTTAGCTCATCTAGCCCATCCAATTGTTTTGCCCATAAACTTTTTCCCTTTAAAAACAACCATTATGAATTTTACTCTTTCTATCAGATTCATAATCAGCATTCACTTTAGAAATCTCCAGATGGCCATTTGACAATTAGGATGCAGTCTATCTTCGGCTATTATTCATTAATTGAGGCATATTTTTTGTGACTAAACGTAAAAAAAAAAAAGTCTTGATAGGAATGTGCAGATACTGTGGTTTATTCTGGACTCGGTAGGCTATAGAGACGGACGGCAGTGGAAGTGTTTGATGATGAGAGACAGACTGGGAGACGCTCACATCTGATAGATGGCCATCGATTCAGTGTCAAAGGCTAAAGACAAGCGATTCCGCTTCAGGGGACACATTCAGAGACCTACAGAAATTACCGGATTGACAGCAATTATCCTAATTGTTGGTAATTTCACAGAGGCGCCAGTTCAAAACCAGTCCTCCCTTCAAATGGTGAGATTCACACCTCCACAGACTAATCCAAGCGTCTGTGAAACTGCCCACGGAACATCACCAGCCCACTGATACTTCTAATGCCACACTCAGTGAGTATGGGGAAATGTAACATTTTTGTGCACTCATTTTTAATTCGACCCACCTTAGCTAATTCAGCTTATTAACTTTAATGTTAAGTAGTTTGACTATGAATAATGACCATTCCGTGTAGCCTATATTTTAGTAAGCCAATCCACTCTAAACAACAGTCTAGTCTTACTAATTATGAGGAATCACAAGATAATGAGGAATACATACAGTAATCAAGGCTTTCATCAGTAATTAAGCACGATACAATAATTTACCAAATAACACGTTTTTCGTAATAGGTAGGCTAGTTTAAGGGCACCGACCTTTTCAGAGACTGTGAAATTAGACTTTTTATAGATAAACACTTCCAACTTCATGTAAAAAAAAAAAAAGTTAATTAACGTTTCAAACATCGGCGTTAGACTATTCACAGTCTTTGAGTTTGGATGATGAGGTGCCGCCCTCTGCTGTCCATGAGTGGAATTATTATTATTTTTTTTCTAGTTCGATAAAAAGCAACCACTTACCAAAACATTATTAAAAATGGCTACGGCAAGGAGTAGCCAAGAAGGAACTGTAGCTTCTGACATTTGCTATAGACTAATTGGATGATACACAGACACATAAACCAACTACAACAAGGTCATGTAGGGCGAATACAGAGAACACTTTATGCTAATTTGACTTGGGTGATGATAGATCTGATCTGACACGATATCCCCTCTACACCAGGGGTTTTTAATTTGTAGATGCCACAAGACCCCTCGTTTGAAGGATTCTCATCCTAAGATTTAAAAGGAATCTATTTTTTACAAGCACTCAATTTATACACTGAAAAGTAATAGCCTATTATAAATCTAAAATGAGGTTCTATTAAGTTACATTATTATAGTAGGCTATATTCTATACTATAATAATGCATATGCATATACAAATGCTTAATCAAAAAAATATGAAATGAATGCTTTATTAGGCTACTGTTTTGGTTGAATGGGTGAATGCCAGTAGATGGCAAACCATTTTGAAAAGCAGTTTCATAAGACTTTCAGCAACCTTGTGTCATGCTTTAATAACGAGTTTATATATGCTGAACCCATTGAGCATTTGATGTTGAGTTACTCAGCGTGCCAGCATAACCTGCTCTTCACAACTCAAGACCTCAAGCTGAGGCACATCTGAGTCCTATAGGGAACAGACATCCAGGCTCACCGTTACCGTTTCTCTCGGCTTTGAACTGCTCTTAAATGATGGGACACGTCATGCTGCTGATGTGCTGTTAGTTGAGAGCCATTCAGTTATTTGAAGTTCATGGTTGTGTTCCAACCTCTGCTGATTCTCTTTGTCTCCACTCCACACAGGCAGTATGACATTTCTTTTTTGTAGGTGTAAGTATAATCTGAAGTTGTTTTTATTCCACAGATGGACCTCGTGTTGGAATATCCGGACAGAATGGAGAAACATGCAACACGGGCCAGGTAACATCTGTGCAGATCTGACATGATGCAACTTTTAAAATGGAAAACCTATCTGGTTTCAAGTCACATCAGTAAAAAAAAAGTTTTAAAAGTAGGGATGCAACTATATTCAGAAGATTATTTATGGACCATAAACAATAAATGGCCTGTATTAAAGGACAAGTTCGGTATTTTACACTTAAAGCCCTGTTTTAAAGCTACACTGTGATTTTTACCCCCATCTAGTGGTGAAAAGGTATATGACCATCCAGTGAATATTAGTTTCTGTTCCTCTCAATTCCGATTTCGTTTTAACTCCTACGGTGGCCAATGTAGTCCAAGACTAACATGGCTTCCAGTTTAGTCTCGCGTAGCCAGACCTTCAGACTGACGGCTGAAGGTCTGGAATTCATAGCAGCTTTCTTTGGCCAAGGCCCGCCCATAAGGCCGTTTGACCGACATGTCAAACAACCAATTACAGTTCGTTTCATTCAGCGTCACGTTTCGGTGCGTCGAAATGTCCCCACAACATCAGACCGGCGTGCAACAAGTCAGTCAGCAGCAGTCACCGGAGGCGCTCGTTAACAACAGTCCGCGTTATTAAATTCACCCACGAACTCGCGCTCATGTCCATCTTATGCCCGCTTTGTCACACGGCCAGTTCAACCTCGTATAAATCAGGTTATGTGTGTAAATCACGTGCTCACAAACGCTCACTCAGACACACTGTCCCCGGCGCTGCTCGTGCGTCACAGTTATGTTCATAAAGCGCTCCCCGTTCACAGTAACCGGCTCGTCTCATTCAAAACAGCCAGCTGTAACGTTAGCTGTCAGCGAGCCGCCGCACATTGAATACTCGCAGTCAAACGTTTGACTCTGCAGTATCGTATGCACCTTATAATCCAGTGTGCGCCCAATATATGAATACTGAATCTCGGCCAGCTGCGATGTCAGCGTCTGTTGTTTCATGTTTGCCCACAAACGCGGCTGATATCCCCTTCGCAATTAAGTACTTCACTTGATCTTCCATAATTGATAGGAGGGGACATACAACTACGTTTAGCTGATCTTGATTAATGCTCATTGTCACTCATAAACACAACAGTTTTTCTTCCGCAATCACACTTCTGCGCTTTGTTTCCCGGCGGACCGAAAATAAGCGTGACACTGACGCCCCCCGGAAATCCGATAAAATTCAACCAATCAGATGACGACTTCGACATTCCTGAAGTGTTTCCAGTTAAGTGTACCATATGCATCAGACGTTTAGCCAACGTTCCGTGGGCGTGACGTCTGAGGCTGAGACTACTTCCAGTTCGACCTCGTCCATGAGTGTTAACTCACACGTAAACGCGAAAGGCGAAGCTTGAATTAACGGGTATGTCCCTCTTTGGCTAATGTACTTTCAAGATGGAGGGGCAACATGGCGACCGACATTAGAACCCCTTACCCGTATGTATTTTCAATGGCATATTATACACTCACGAAAATACTTTATTACTTAAACGAACTAAATATACATTAATGAGCACATATGTTTTTGAAAGAACTAAGAGTTTTTAGCTAAGAATAAACTAAAAGAGTTACACAGTGACAGTGTAGCTTTAAGATAATTTCTGATGAAATAGAACG